TGTTTGCCACCAAAACTCCTCCTCCAGCTGCTCCTGCAGCCAGGACCAGAGGGGCAGAGCTGCTCCTTGCTCCAGGCACCTCAGTTTGTGATTCCAGCCCCTGGAACCTCACTGCCCATCCCAGGGCTGCTCCTTGCTCCAGGCACCTCAGCTTGTGATTCCATGGAATGTCACTGTCCCATCCCAGGGCAGCTCCTTGCTCCAGACATCTCAGTTTGTGATTCCAGCCCCTGGAAGCTCACTGCCCATCCCAGGGCAGCTCCTCAGCTTGTGATTCCAGCTCCTGGAACCTCACTGCCCCATCCCAGGGCTGCTCCTTGCTCCAGGCACTTCAATTTGTGATTCCAGCCCCTGGAACCTCACTGCCCATCCCAGGGCAGCTCCTCAGTTTGTGATTCCAGCCCCTGGGAGCTCACTGCCCATCCCAGGGCAGCTCCTTGCCCACAAACAGGCTCCTTCCAGCCAGGCTGAGCTTTCCAAGGGGCTGGGATGTGACCCCTGGCTCCTGTTTCTCCCTGAGGAGATTCTCCAGGAACTGCAGCTCCTCACTGTGAGGATGCAGGGACTCACTCTGCCTCCCTCTGTTTCTTTTCCCTTCCATCTCACTGATGGTTGTTGGAAATATTTTTTTTCCATTCAAGAAAAAGAGGGAAATGTGGGAAATGAATTTGTAGAGAATTCTCAAAGCCTGACAGAAGGCTCACATAGCATACATCTGTATACAAACCTTGAAATAAAAAATACTATTCTAGAAATGCTATAGAGTAAGACAGACATTATTAAGAGAGAAATAGAACTAGAAACAAGTTTCAAAAAATAACCTTACAAATAAAACTAGATACTTTAGAGAAACAAAACTATAAAAGATACATTGTAGTAAGTAATTTTTAATTATTAGCTTTAACACATTTACAGTATAGTGTACCAAGCCAAACTCAGACCAAGAAATGCTTATAATGTATTATAATTAAGAAATAATTTTCTTCTGCTTATAATAGCATAGATTGGAAAAGCAGGCAAGCCACTCCTTGAGGAGCAGGGAAGGACAAGGGGATTCGGTCACACTAAGCCTTCCCCTGACCCAGAGATGGGGCATTTTAAAAAAATTTAAAATGCTGAGAGGCATTTAAATTTTTTTTATTCCATTAAAAAATTTTTAAAAATTAAAAATTACAAATTTTAAAATTTTAATTTTAAATTTTTTTTTAAATTTAAAATGTTGAGAGGCATTTTAAAACTTTTATTCCATTTTTAGTCTCATGTGAAGGGTGAGACAACACAGATGTTATAATTCACTCCATCACAATCAGAAGCCAACTATTTCCTAATTACAATACACTACAAATGTTTCTTGGCCTATTCTTTAGTCTTTTTTGTAAGGCTGTCTAAGTCCTTAAAATGCAACCAAAACCAGCAGAGTTACCTATGGAATCCTGGCAGGAAACAGCAGCTTCCAGCACAGAAACACCTTGCAACCAACTTTTTCCTCTTTATCAGAAAGATTTGAGAAAATAACAGAGAATTTATTGAGTTGCTCCCAAACTGTGTCTGTTCTCCTTGAAGGGAACATAAATAATCAGCAGGGAAGGACAAGGGGATCCAGGAGCCATGAGCAGGAACAGAGACCATGGGGAGCTGAGCCTGTCCCACAGGCCCAGGGCTGAGAACAGAGCTCAGCACCTGAGAGCCACAGGCTCAGCACCTCCCAGAGCAGGGAGAGCCTCTGGATTTACTGGTATTTGGGTGATTTACCCAAATTTACTGGGAAATTACTCTGGAAGCACTCCCTGGCCATCCACACTGCAGGCATAACAAAACCCCTACATCCATGAGAACCTACAAAAACTTACATCCATGAGAACCTACAAAATCTACACCCATGAGAACCTACAAAAACTACATCCATAAAAACCTACAAAAAACTACATCCATGAGAACCTACAAAATCTACACTCAAGAGAACCTACAAAATCTACATCCATGAGAACCTACAAAATCTACATCCACGAGAACCTACAAAAATTACATCCAGGAGAACTTACAAAAAACTACATCCAGGAGAACCTACAAAAAACTACACCCACGAGAACCTAAAAAAAACTACACCCATGAGAACCTACAAAATCTACATCCATGAGAACGTACAAAATCTACATCCATGAGAACCTACAAAAATCTACATCCATGAGAACCTACAAAAACTACATCCATGAGAACTTACAAAAACCTACACCCATGAGAACCTACAAAAATCTACATCCATGAGAACCAGGCTTTCCCATCCAGCCCTCACTGTGGGAGGGCAGGAGGCAGCCAGGAGTGGCTAAAACCTTTTCTCAAAGCCTCAAATCCCAGTTCCTCTGCTCTGCCCCCTCACAGTCAGCATCACCTGGCCAGGCAGGCACAGAGCTGGCCCAGAGCAGTGCAGAGGTGGCCCTGGGGCTTTGTGTGAGGGCTTCAGTGGCTCCTGCTCCAGGCTGGAGGGCAGTGGGACATGCCCTGGCACAGGGACAGACAGGGAGCTCAGCATCCTGCATGGAAAGGCCAAGGGGACATGAAGCAGTTGTGAGAAATGCAGCTGACAGAGGAAATTTGGCTGGGTTTGTAACTGCACCTTCAGTTTGTCAAGCTCCAGGCAAATCCCAGCTGCTCCCAGAGAGGAAAAAGGCAGAGAAGAGTGGGACATCCTCAGAAATAAACCCTGCATTAACACAGCCACCAAAAGGTGAGGACTTCACCAAAAGGTCCAAGCTGACATCAGCTCTCTCTTCTATAACTGACCCAAGAATTTCAGAGCACCAAGAAATCCAGCAGAGCATTCCCTGACTAAAAATAGGCCCAGCTAATTAACAAACCTTGTTAAAAGGCACACCCAGCAGCAGCACAACCTCTGCTTTGGTTACAAAGGGATGATCAATATTGACTGTCTAAAAAACAGCAGCAAATCCTTCAGGTGGCTTCAATGTGAGCAATGCTCAGTTGTGAAAAAAAGAACCTGCTTTGCTCCCTGCCCTGGGCTTCTTTTATAACCATTTAATGCCATGTGTTGCTAGAGAGCTCAGCCCTTCCTAACCACTGTAATAAACACATATCAATCGCTTTCAAATTTAATAAATAGAACCCCTAAAAGCTTTGCCTGGATCTGCTTTTCCCATTCAATTAATAGAACACAACACCAAAGTGATGAATTATTGAGGAGAAACACGAGCCTGGCCTTTCACAAATGCTCTACTCCAATGGCAATTTATTACAAATTAATAGTGTGCTGCAGCTCCTCCTGCTTCCTGGCAGCTGGGAATTGCTCAGGAAATTTGGGAGCTGCCATAAAACACTGCTGCTCAAATCATCCTGGAGGGGTTTGCATGGGAAGGGAGCTCAAAGCTCCAAGGGTTTGGACAGCACTGCCAGGGATGCACAGGGTGGGATTGTTGGGGGGTCTGTGCAGGGCAGGAGTGGGACTGGGTGCTCCCCTCAGTCCTTCCCAGCTCAGGATATTCTGTGCTTCCAGGGTTCTAAGTAAGAGGAGCTCAAGGTCTGGAGAGTCCCAACCCCATAATCACCTTTTCTGCAGCTGCATTTTTGCAGCATTTGGGCACCCCTTACTCCATTTTGGGTAATTTTTTAATTCCATTCCAACTCCAACACCTTCCACTGCCCCAGGCTGCTCCAATCCCTGTCCAACCTGGCCTTGGGCATTGCCAGGGATCCAGGGACATCCAACCCAAATCATGCTCTGGGCACCCTGTGCCAGGACCTGCCCACCCTTGCAGTAAATAAATTAATAAATAAAGTGAGAGTGGAACTGGGGAGAAGGAGGAGGGATGGACAACTGACAGAAGAACAGGAGAAAACTGCTCTGAGGGGTTTTTACTCCTGGAACAGCAGAGTTTGTAAGGGAAGGATGGTTCTTTGCCACCCTTGCAGCATACTCCATGGGCAGGGCTGGAATTCCAGATAAGCATCTCTGAGCAGAGCTGACTATTGTGCAAGGATGATAATTCACATTTGCACATTCAGAACTCCAGCTGCTCAGAAAGGAGATCCCCAGATTTCTCACACCCTGCCTGGCCCAAAATGACCCTCTGACACTCTGAGAGAAATCCCAAACTGAAAAACAACTGAAAAAAACCCCATTTTCTGCAGTAAAGGGGTTCAAATGGCAACCAGCCAGAAAGATACTTCACACTTCACCAAGCTGCTGCTCTGGAAGCACTTGCAGGAATCCCTCAGGAGCCAGGTGGGGATTGGCACTGGCCTGTTGGAAGATCATCCTGACCCCAGCCAGGGAGTTCAGAGCTCTGGTTTCATGTGCTGCTTGCTAAAAACCATCTGAGCATGTTGATCCTCCAAACACTTGGAGTGAAGGTTATAAATGAATTGGTAAATTGATCAGTAAATTGGTCAATGCATGGTAATTCCCATTCCAGTGGAAGGTGCCCTGCCCACGGATGATATGAGATGAGAGTTAAGGCCCTTCCAACCCAAACCATTCCATGCTCAGTGCCTGGAAGATGTCACAGCCAGCAGCTCACAGACACCTCCAGCAGCATGGCAGCCACTCCATCAGAGCAAGAATCCCCAAAAACACAGGTGAGAGACACCAAACCAGGAGGAAATAATTCCCAGTGATTTCACAGACACCTCCAGCAGCATGGCAGCCACTCCATCAGAGCAAGAACCCTCAAAACCACAGGTGAGAGACACCAAACCAGAAGGAAATTATTTCCCAGTGACGTTTCTTTGTAGGAAGGAACTTTCCTGATTAACAACAAAACATAGAACCACCACCACAACTGCTGTACCACCTTTTTCAACCCTATTAAATGTCCCCAACCTCTCCCCCCCTTCCCCTCCACCCAGCAGAGAGCAGGAACTCAGAAAGCCAAACCCAGATGGTTTTCCCTGTAGTTTTCCTTCTCTTTAAACAATCTTCTGAGCTCATCCATGGTGTTAAATTTGGCCAGTTCCCATCCTCACTCACAGCACAGCAGGAAACTCACCTCCATTTCTGATGGCTCTGATGCCCCGATGGAAATCTTCAAAGCTGATAACTCCCAACCCACTGGGATCCAGGTATTTTGTTAGGTCCTTTACCTGCAACCAAAAAAAGCAGAGTTACCTATGGAATCCTTGCAGGAAACAGCAGCTTCCAGCACAGAAACACCTTGCAACCAACTTTTTCCTCTTTATCAGAAAGATTTGAGAAAATAACAGTGAATTTCTTGAGCTGTCCCCAAACTGGGTCTGTTCTCCTTGGAGGGAACATAAATAATCAGAACAAAGGGGTTAATTAGGACTTGGTTGGTGTTGAAAGTATTGTTTAGCCTTGGAGCAGCATTTCAGGCAGTGTCTCCTGTAACATGGACCTGCTTTGCCAGGGATTTGTTTATTTTTATGGGTTTTAAAGAGGTCCTGTCTTAATTGGGAAACTGTAATGGGCTGCCTGGTAGGAGGGCCCAATTAAGGGGATTTGGTGATAATGAACTGCTCCATGTTACAAATTTAGGCTGTATAATTGAAACATTTTCCCAATTAGACAATGCCTGGGGGGGGAGGGGAATCACATCAAGCCAGGGCTGGGATGGGGGTGCTGCAGCAAGGGGCACTCTGAGGATGGTCTGGGCTAAGAGAATGGGAAAAGGGCAGAACCACAGGGCCCAAAGGGTCTCCAAAAGGTGCATTTGGTTCCTTCCTTCTGCCATGAGCAGAAAATCCTTTACACCAGATGCTTCTCAAGCTCAACCAGACATTTATCCCTTGTTTTAAGAGCTTTTGAGGCACCTTTGTCTATTTTTGCAGCTGAGGAACAATCCCAGGAGGGAGCTGGTGAGGTGAGAGAGGTGAGCTCCATACTGCAGACCTGCCCTAACCTGCCACACACATCTTCCTCCTCCTCCTCTTCCTCATGCACAGGAGGGAGACTCCAGGGCTGCATCTGTGCAGTTTCAGTTTGGGGTTTCAGTTTGCTCCTGGGGAAGGAGCTGCTGAATCACCAAAGCTCTCCTTTCACACAGGTCTCACAGGAGACTCAGCCCATGGAGCTCAGAGCTGCCCTGCTCACCCTGCAGCACCACTGGGGAGTGGTTTGAGCTCTTTTAGGTTTTCTGAAAGCCAGCTATGTGTTTCTACAGGAAAATCACATCTACAGCACACTCAGAGCTGCTCACCCACGGCTTCACGTGCTTTGGTCATCCCACATTCCCACAGGAACAGCTAAAATTCTGCTGGCATGGAGGAACCCACAGGGCTGAGAACATAAAACATGGAATCAGAATATCCTGAGTGGGAAGGGTTCCACAGGGATCATCCAGTCCAAGCCCTGCACAGACCCCCAACAATCCCACCCTGTGCATCCCTGAGATCATTGTCCAAGCTCTCCTGGAGCTCTGGAGCTCTGGCAGCCTCAGGGCTCAATGATCTCAGAGCTCTTTGCAAGCTCAACTGAGAGTCTGTGAATGGGAGAAGACAACAGAAACACCTTCTCCAGTTTTCTAGAGCACTCTTTTTTGGCAGACAGACCTCCTAAACTCACATGGCACTCATCATCTTGGCTGAGTCAGGTTCCTTGTATGTTAAACAAAGGTATTTGAGACTAATAAAAACAACTCGTAGGAATGTGTCAGCTCCAGTTAATGCATCTGGCAGCTGCCTGGATGAAGCTGTCACTTAATTTGTTATCTGTGTACAGAGATAACAGAAGGGCAAGTGACATTTAATCAGACTTGATAAGCCTATAAGGGATTAGCATGACACACTCTAAATTACAGTTTCTGTGGTTTTCAGCTCCTCAGGACCACAGGGGGCTTCAGACCCTGGTGCCAATGGCAGAGCAGGGCACCTCACTCACCAGAGCTCAGCAGGACACACAGGGAGGTGTCTGCTCTATGCAAAAGAGAAAAAAAAAAGTATTTAAATTGGGCTGTGGGCAGGGGGAAATGAGGGGAAATGGTTCTGAAAACTTCCCAACCCCGACATCATGGATGCAAACAACAAAAGGCACACAGTGAAGAGGCTGGATCAGTCTGTGCTGATCCAAACCTGCCTGGATTTGCTGGCCAGGCTTAAAATCACCATTACCAGTTGAGACACCACCCCAGGCTGAGGTGAGTGGCTGCTGACACTCCACAGAACCCACAGACAGAAAACAAGAATATTTGCTGTGCCTGGACTGCTCCCCTCACCAAGCATCACCCAGCAATGGAGCTGGAGCCCCTCTGGAGCCAGGCTGGCAGAGCTGGGGGTGCTCACCTGGAGAGGAGAAGCTCCAGGGACACCTCAGAGCCCCTGCCAGGGCCTGAAGGGGCTCCAGGAGAGCTGCAGAGGGACTGGGGACAAGGGATGGAGGGACAGGACACAGGGAATAGCTCCCACTGCCAGAGGGCAGGGATGGATGGGATATTGGGAATGAGGAATTGTTCCCTGTGAGGGTGGGCAGGCCCTGGCACAGGGTGCCCAGAGCAGCTGTGGCTGCCCCTGCATCCCTGGCAGTGCCCAAGGCCAGGCTGGGCAGGGCTGGAGCAGCCTGGGATTGTTTTCATTTGTTCATTTTGATGACTGGGCTAAACCCAGCACCTCATCAGGGCAGCTGGGAAAACCACAGCACTGAGGCTCAAACTGCTTTAGGTGCCTGCAGTAAATGTGAGCAGCTCTGAGCTCCCAGATTTGAGGTTTCAGCTGAATCCTGAGCACAGCAGCTCCCAGCACTCTCCTGCTGGCACAGCACCAACAGGAACACTCCACCAAGCTGAACACCAAGCTCAAACCACGAGACAGAAGCCACAACCCTGCTTTTGGCCAGCAAAAATACTTCAAATAAAGGGTTTTCTTCCTGTGTGTGTCTGTGGCTGCTCACAAACCCTGCTTTGAGCCCGAGCAGCTGAAACACAGAGCATTAAAGAGTGAAAGAGGATGAGGTGGGTTAAGTAGCTGACTTAAATCCTGCTGGAAAGTGAGAGCTTTAAACTGCTTGAAGGCAGCCAGGCTGCCTGGAGCTGAGCACAGACACAGCAGCAGGAGCAGAGCTGGGGGCTGTGGTGGTGTTTGAGGGTCCCCAGGATGAGAGAAGATATGAGAATCTTGACTCCATGTTTCAGAAGACTAATTATTATTATTTTATTATATATTATATATTTATTTTATATATTTATACGTATATATTTATATAAATATATTTATTTTATAATCATAATTTTAATATAAATGTAAATAAGTATATATTTATAAATAATAATATATATAAATATATATTTATTTTATAATTATTTTATAATAATATATTTGTTTTATCTATTAATTATATATTATAGATTTATTATATATTATAGATTATAGATTTATATATTAAAACTATTAATGTATTATATATTATGTATATTATAAATACAATATATAATATATAATATATAATATATAAGATATAATATATAAGATATAATACGTAATACGTAATATGTAATATATAAGATATAATATTAAAAGTATTAATATAATATAGATTATATATTAATAGTTTTAACAATATATTATAATATAATCTATAATCTATACTATAATATATATTATATATTATATTCTATATTCTATATTCTATATTCTATATTATATTATATTAAAAAAACTGTACTAAAGAATAGAAAAAAAGGATTTCATCAGAAGGCTTGAAAGGAAAAGAATGATAATAAAATATTGTGACTGAGCAGAGTCCTGACACAGCTGGACTGGGATTGGCCATCAAGTAGAAACAATTCACATGAGACCAAATCAAAGATGCACCTGCCACATCCCACAGCAGCAGATAGTTATTGTTTATATTTCATTTCTGAGGCCTCTCAGCTTCTCAGGAGAAGAAATCCTGGAAAAGGATTTTTCATAAAATGTGTCTGTGACAGGGGGTGGCACCTGCCAAGGGGGCTCTGGTCACTCCTGTGCCAGGGACACAGCCCAGACCAGGGGATTCCTCCTGGAAAAGGACATGGGGCAGGAGGGGACAATGAGGGGAGGTCCCCTGGCACCTCAGCAGTATCACAGGGACTCCCTGCAGCATCCCCACCCCACAGCCCTGCATCCTGGGCACACCCCAGGCTGCTCCACCTGCAAACCCAGGGGTTCAGAGCCCACTCTGCCATGCCATGGGCCCCTCGCTGCACAAAAAGAGTCTCCTTGCTTTGATGCACTGAGCTCAGCTCAGCAAATGCCCCTGAGCTCCAGCAGTGACAGCTCCACACTCCAGCTCACACACAAAGCCTTGGCAGGGGAAGTTTCCCAGGGAGGTGAAGGATTCCCCAGCTGTGAATTCCCGGTTTAGAAAAGGAAAAGGAAGCTCTGGGCCTCTCCTCTCCTTCCTCAGGGATGCTCCATGCCTGCAGCACACCCCAGATGGATTCAGCAGGACAGAATATCCACTGGGCTTGTTCGAGGTGGGATCCCTGAGGGAATTCTGGGCAGCCAACACTCCCTGCAAGCCCTGAGCCTGCCAGCAGCTTCCCCCCATATCCTGGCACAGGTCAGGCCTGAAACAGATCCCAAAATTACAATCTTTGGAAGGGGAAGGGGATGGGAGATTTCTAGTGGCCACAGCACCCCCCAAGAAGAGCTGGTGGAGCTCAGAGCATCAAATCATGTGGGGTCCCACAGGGATGGTGCTTCCATGTCCTACCCTGGGAATAAAATCAACCCCCAGGGATGCTCTAATCTACACAGTCTGGGGGCAAATGCAAAGGGGGGAAAGAGGAGGAAAGAGTACTGATATATTCCTGATAAAGATCTCAAAATACCCAAGCAAATGGGGAGGGAAAAGGAGAAAAGGAAAAAAGGGAAAAGGAGTAAAGGAAAAAAGGAAAAAAAAAAAAAAAAGGGGGAAAAAGGGGGAAAAAAGGGGGAAAGAAGGAGGGGGAGAAAGTGGGAGAAAAGGAGGGGGAAGGGTGGGAAAAAGGTGGGAAAAGGGGGGGAAATGAAGGGGAAAAGAAGGGGGAAAAGGGGGAAAAGGGGGAAAAAAGGGGGGGGAGAGGGAAAAAAGGGGGGGAAAAAGGGGGGGAAAGGGGGAAAAAAGGAGAAAAATGGGGAAAAAGAAAACAGAAAAAAAAAGGAAAAAAGGA